GGGGCTCCTTCTGTGCTGGGACATGGCACATGGGCCACACCGTGCGGGGACACCGCACCCTCCCACCCAGTCCGCTCGGGGACGTGCTGAGGAGGACACAGCACGAGGACATGCTGTGGTCTCCTTTCCCTGGAGTGACAGCTTGGGGACATGGCCTAGCCCCCTTCGCATGGGCGTGGGGACACCACGTGTCCCCCCTCAGCGTGGGGTGACCTGACCACTTCGCCAGCCCCATCCCCCGGCGCTCCTTGGTTGAGCTCCTGCTGAGGCCGGACAAACTCGTTGCTGGGATAACGGTGCTGGGCTGGGCCCCCCCCTTGGAAATCCCCCGGGGGCAGCGCCGCGGGAAGCCTTGCAGCCCTGCCCCGGGGAGGGGGGGGCATAGGCACCCATGGCTCCACGGCCACCCACAGCCCTCCGGGGCCACCCAGGGCTCACAGGAGACTGTCCATTCCCTGCAGCCCCCCGGGCCCAGAGCGGGTGCCCTCGCTGTGGGGCTGCAGCCCGGGTGCCCACCTGCCCTGGTGCTGCAGCCGGGGCTCTCTCCCCCCAGATCCCCTCTCGCAGTGCAGGGGGGTCCTGCAACAGCCCCCCTGGAGCGCATCCCTGCCGGCACCCTGTGATGGCCCCTGGACCTGCTGCCTCCCTGCAACCAGCCAGAGAGGAGAAGCCAGCGGGGACGGCTCGGAAGGGGGACTAACCCCCCATCCATGGCAGGGGGCAACCACCCGGGGCTACTGCAGAGCAGCCCAGCAGCCGGGGCCTGCACCCGTCCCTCGTGCCCCCGCCACCCACACCGCTGCCCAAGAGGTTCCCGGTGACCCCTGGCCATGTAGGCGCAAACCCAGGGCTTCGCCAACGGCCACTGTCAACATGCAGCCGGGCTACGCGGCTGTCCTGTGTAAGTACGGCTTGGGAACAGGACAGGGGGATGGCCGCAGGTGTCACCTCAGCGGTGTCCCCAGGGTGGGGTGGGGGCTGATGCCACTCACTTTTGGCTGCCCAGGTGGCCTGGCCGATGTGCTGGGGCTGGAGGCTGCTGCGCCGGGCGAATGCGAGCTCACCCGCCTGCTCCAGGACAAGCTGCAGTACGAGATGCGTCTGCAGTACATGGTAACCCTCTGTTTTGGTGGGGGGATGATGTGGTGTTGCAGGGCCCTGGGTGTGGTCTGGTGGGGGGACACATGGGAGGGCAGCACCCCCTGCTTCTGCAGTGACTGGGTGCTGGGGTTTGGGTTTGGTTTTTTTTTTTTTAACAGGGGGCAGCTTGTGCCAAATGGTGCCCAGAGCTGCTCCTGCTGCTGCATCTTTGGGGCTGGACCATGTTAACAGGCTTTTCCACCAGTTCCCTGATGTCATGGTGAGGCTGGCAAGGCTGTCCCCCTCACTTTGCTGCCAGCCCCTGTGTTCTTCTCTGCCTTTCCAGAAACACTACTTCCCCATCGGCTACACAGTCCAGGTCCAGTACGAAGAGGTGCTGAGGCCATCCAACATTAGCCGCCTGGTGAGATAGTGGCAGGGGATGGCCCCATGATGGGGACGCTCTGGGGACCCGTGGGGGCTGCATGGGTCTCACCCAGGCACCCTCTCGCCCCCAGCGCAACGGGACAGTGTCGGAGGCGGCACTGCGGTACCTCTGGTTCCATGTCAGCTCCCAGGCAGTGCTGCGGATCCGCGAGGTGCTGCTGGAGAAGCACCCGTCTTGGAAGTACACCCAGGAGCTATGCCAGCTCTTCGATGCCCTGGGCAAGGAGTACAGCAAGTACCAGCAGGTGGGGAGACCCCGTGGTCCCCCCTGGCACCCCAGCCCATCCGCACACTGGCACGCAGCCTTGCACACCCCTTGCAGGGGTGCTGTGTGTCCATGCAGGGTGCAAGCACCCAGTGCCTGTGCATGCAGACACGTGTGTTGTGTGCTCGCATGGCACAGGCACAGATGTGGGCATGCACAAGAGGTACATGCACGCGTGGGTGTGAGCACCCGGTGGGTGCAGCGCGGGCATGCACAGCCCTCTCTGCATGTGGGCCCTGTGAGAGGGCTGGCAGGGGCAGGCTGCTGAGGGGCAGAGGGTGGCACCCGGGGTGCTGGGCCGTGGGGCAGCACCGGGAGACAGTGCACATCTGGCATTGGTGGTTCAGTGGTAGAATTCTCGCCTGCCACGCGGGAGGCCCGGGTTCGATTCCCGGCCAATGCAGGGTGGTTTATTTTCTTGCCTGCAACTCACTTTGGGGGGCCAACAGGGCTGGGGAAGGGGTCACTGCCATAGCCGGTGAGGGGATCCTGCAAAAGGTGACCCCGAAATTCCTCCCAGTTTTCCGTGTGGCAGTACCTTACTGCAGCGGTAGAAGAGGCCCTGCCTGTCCTCCCAAGCCTCTGCTGTCTCAGTGGAGCC